GGGGCACTCCTAAAAGTAAATAGATGGTACCAGAGAAAATAAAATCACAGTAAAGAAAGCAGACCAACCAAATACTAACTAAAAGCAAAAAATAAAATCAACTACCCACAAAAGCAGTTAAAGGAAGCACAAAAGAGCACAGAATTAAACAACCAACATATAAAGAACAGAGGAGGAGGAATAAGAAGGGAAAAAAATAAAGAATGACCAGACAGTGTTTAAAATAGCTCAATAAGCAAGTTAAGTTAGACAGTAAGATACTAAAGAAGCTAACCTTGAACCTTTGGCAACCACGAATCTAAAGCCTGCAATGGCAATAATTACATATCTTTCAATAATCACCCTAAATGTAAATGGACGGAATGCACCAATCAAAAGACACAGAATAATAGAATGGATAAAAAAGCAAGACCCATGCTTGCTTACAAGAGACTCACCTCAAACCCAAAGACTATAGGAACAAAGACTGACGTAACAAAACAGCAGCAGAATCATAGAATCTAAGAGTGGACTAACAGTTGCCAAAGGGAAAGGGACTGGGGAAAAAGGGAGGGAAGGGAGGGATAAGGGTGGGGAAGAAGAAAGGGGGCATTACGATTAGCATGTATAATATGGGGGGGCGGAATGGGGAGGGCTATACAACACAGAGAAGACAAGTAGTGATTCTATAGCATCTTACTACGCTGATGGACAGTACAGTAATGGGGTTTGTGGGGGGGACTTGGTGAAGGAGGGATCCTAGTAAACAGAATATTCTTCATGTAATTGTAGATTAATGACAACAAAATTAATTAATTAATTAATTTTTTAAAAAGTAAGCATTTCTCTCTGGTTAATCATATTTTCCAGAAAGGAAATGCAGAATTCCTTAATGCAGATATGTTTTACATTTGCAGGACAATGGGCCCTTGACCAATAACTATGTTTATTGACATAGATGTTTAGTGAAAAAATTAATTTATCCAGAAACATTTTAAATTAGTTTATTTTTAAACAATGGTACACAGGTCATCATAAAACAGAAGAAACAAAGAAACACAAAGGATAAAAGAACACCAGAAACTCACCTCCTGAAAGAATAATTCATTGTTACCATTTCTCCACCATCTCTCATTTTACATAAATGTAAATAATCTTACATTAAAGGAATCATCCCATACATCTTATTCTATAGCCTACTTTACACATTAGGTAAAAAACATCTTCTACGTCAGCCAATATTTTTAAGGGCTCTAGTGATTACATTCTGTGTATTACTGTAATTTTCTTGACCATTTTCCCTACTAATAGATCTTTGATTTCTTTCCATTTTCTTTTAAATGAAGTATCTCTATTAAGTGAACAGGATACTACACTTCTTTACTAAAATGCCCCTTACTCCAAATATTTCTCCACAATACAGGCATTTACTCAAATATTTTTAAGTGCCTATTATGTCCCACTCACTGTTCTAGGCAAGCTAAGTTCCACGAGTATAGGACATTGATTCTATTTTATTCATTGCTTTATTTCAAGTGTTTAGAGAATTGTTTGGTTACATAGTAGACTTTCATATATTTGTTAAATGAATGGACAACCGTCCTTGTCCATTCATCCTTTATGCCTATTGTTAGCTACTTTTTTTTTTGGATAATTGAATTTTTATTACATATTTAAACATATACAAAAACACATTAAATGATTCACCCTCAAATGTAAATATTCTTTGTACATTTTGCCCTAACAAAAAACTGGTTATGTGAAAAATCAGAGAGTTAGAGTTTGGAAAAAGAAAAATAAGGACAACATTTAAAAATTACCACATAGTATAAACATTCTTGAAATCTCTCTAAGTATCAGAATGTCCATCTGGTTTTCCATTATGTACCCTTATTTCTGCCTGTTATAACCACATTCAAACTCAGCAAATACAGCTCTCATCTATACTGAACTCAGTCATCTCTCTGGACCTATGATCCTCCATCCTTTGGTCCACCTTCATCACTGCTTTTATCAAACAGCAACAAGCTATCAGGTGGACCTGGCTGACCTACTCCCATTTATTTTAAGCCACAGGACCCCAATAGGACAGAAGACTTGCCCTCCTTTGGACCTCATCTCTTATCTTCATAGCTTTTTATCATAGTCACTTGATCTAGTATTTAGTCCTGACTCCAGACTCAGAAAAATTAACTGTAAAACTAATAAAGCAGTCTCTCATTAATTTAGGATTCTGAGGTCTAAATTTCACATACTATATGGTAATCTATCTAAATAATAAAAAGAGAAAACACTAATATTAATAAAACTGGCAGCCATTGCTTCATAGGATGAAAGCTGACCTCTGAACTGGAGGCTGAATGAAGAAGCTTTAATGATTTATTTGATACTGAAGTGACTCAGACATACATACCTTTCTTTCTTTAAAGATGGGACCACAGAATTGCCCCTCCCAGTCTCCAGATTAGTATTCTAATGTAGCAAAATGCTCATTTATCTCAACATCAAGCTAGTATTTTTCCAGCTAAGCATATCTCTGAGTTTAGGTCTGTTCTTGCCTTTGCAGAAATGGAATCTTTTTTAAGATAGTATCAAGAAATTATGGGGGGAAAAAACAACAGCAAAATGATTCATTTTCTATCTTTTTTTAAAAAAAATTCTCCCCTGAGATTACCTATGAAAATCCAATGAACAGTATTCATAAAAGTGACTGAATTAAGATATGAGACTGGGATAAAAGATAATTCTCTTATAAACATAAGAGATATTCAACCTCAAATAAAGTAATAATAATAATAATACATTCAAACCCACTATGTGTACACTTTCAGCGAAGTTTTATGCATTCCATTATAAGCTCCTAGCCCTAGGTAGACACAGAATCATGGAACATGTCATGTCTGTCACTAGAGGCAGCATCACAGTTCATTAACAGAATAAAGCAGAAAAAAGGTTAATAAATGAACATTACAAAATGAAATGTATCAGTGATAAAACTGCAATAAAGTAACAAATGAAGTTACCACATTTTTTTACCAAGAAGCCCAGTTTGTAAACACTCACCCCAAAAAACCTAACCACACACACAAACAAAAATCATCTTTTGTGACTACAAAATCATAAAGAATTTGTACTCCATGGCTCTTTGTCTTGGCGATTTTAAGAGTAATACCTGAGCTGTGTTAAGTAGCTTCACTGAGTTCTCCATCTTGGATAACTGCCAGTTCTAGAACTTTATTCATCCTCAGAACCTCTGCATAGAGAAAATAATTATGTAGTCTCTGGGAAGTGGTAACTGACAGATAAAACTGTCATATTGTAGATGTTCTGGTTTTAGGCTGGACTGAATTACCAAACGACAAAGATGGGTGAGGGTTGGAACAGAGGTCCTTTTGGGAAGCCAAACACATGGGAGAATGGAATCCAAAGACAAGGCACATCTGGGCATTTGGCCTGTAGCCATGTTGGAGTAACTGTTCTAAGCACTCTTGATGCCCTCCAAACACTGCTGAGTAAACAGGATTCACTTTATCTGGCTCAGTGTCACAAACCCGGCTCGTAAGTGGTATTAACAAGTCCAAGATTTTTGTATGGCCCATTTGTGCAGCTGCATGAATAGGTAACTGCCAATTGTCCTCATTACAGTAAAGATCAGGATCTGCCCCACAGGACAGCAAAAGCTCCACACATGCTGTGTGGCCCTCTTGAGCAGCAATGAACAGGGGAGTAGCTTTGTCCAAGGCTTGACAATTGACATTTGCACCTGATGAAATAAGTATGCTCAAGTTTTCTAGCTTGCCATACTGAGCAGACACAAATAAAGGTGTGATTCCAAAGTCATTCTGGCATTCCTTGTTTGCTCCTTTCTTAAGCAATTTTATGATCTCAGCATTTTCCTGAAAAGTAGCCTGGTGCAAGGCATTCCATCCACACATAGAATGGGATCCATTAACATTTGTTCCATGTTAAAGCAACAGCCTTAACACATCTATCTGTCCACTTTCAACAGCTAAAAACAGTGGCATGGTTTCTTCTAAAGTAATTGCATTAGGATCTGCCCCAGCTTCTATAAGAACTTGTATACGATCTTCCCATGTCCTTGTCCTGCAGCAAGATGCAACACAGAGAAGCCTTCAAGTCTTTATCTTAATGTAGTTTTCAGATAAATCTGCATGAATTCACATATGCAAACATTCTACAGAGTTGTGATAAGCTGCTTCATGAATTGGCATCCATCCCGTTATCAGCAATATCAATGCTATGTCCCTTTTTGAGCCGTTTTCTTCAGACTTTAACGTTTCCTTCCCTGGCAGCAAGTCCAACTGTGGAGCATGTGTGAGAGTAAGCCTCTGTAGAAATCCATTCTTTTGACCAGTCTCCGAACTTATCCTGGACGAACCCCCAAAAATGATGCCTGGGTTCTTGTTTGTAGAGACAAAGAATGAATTTAGCAAACACCCAGGTAGGAGAGCCAGGGAGAGGCTTTTATTTAGAGATAAAGTGAGAGGACAGAACTCCTGACTTATAAGAGAGCCCCAGTTACCTACTTTTTAAAGTTGGAACTTTGAAATTAGTTCTGTTTTCATTTTTTTCACTTTACAAAGTAATACATAGGTAAAATATCTTCACCACTCACAATTCAGGCTCACTACTGGGAGCCAAGTATATGAATATGGAAAAAAAGTAGTATTACAATGTTACCTTTTGGAACCTCTGTTCAACTGTGTTTAAAATTTTCAAAGCTCCTTCTGCAGCTTCAGAACATCATCCAATGGAAATGTGAATCTAATAGTTGGTTGTGTTTTTCTTTGATGTCTCTAATATTTCAGTGAAAAAAAAAAATAGAAACAGTCTCCAAAAGGTCTGGTTGGCACACAAAGAAAAACCCTAAAAAGGCAATTAAACTACAAAATTATGACTAAATTCATAAAAAATTTATTTTGCTTTTTCAGGAAAAATACTCTAGAGGGAAAAGGACCACTGAAACACCAAAACACATATACTGAAATGTTTTTATCCCAATCAAATTTTGTCTTTCAAATTACTATAGAATGATTTGTTGAGAAACTTTTATATATACTCACTCTGTTTTCTTTCATTTGCAAAAATTCAAGCACTGTAGGGATTAAATTAGAATCACAAATCTGGAAAGAACCTTTTGACATATATGGAGTTCATCCTCTGCCTTTTACTCATTTACATTAAAGCTAACTTATATACATAAGAAATATATCCACAACAAAGAATTACCTAGTTCATAGATGAGGACAGGAGATGAGGTCAGAGTTAAGGTGGGAGCTTGGAAAAAGGAATGCAAGCCACTATAAAGATGTTGTCATTGGCGAAGACTGTTTAGAGAAGTGCCATGATCCAACTTCCATTTTAGTATGATCATCCCAAAATTTATGCTCGAATATTAAATGCTTATGTTAAATACATACATTTGAATGGAATATGCATGTTGATTATGCCCATGTATTTTGCCTCCTGACTGGTAAGGATTACATGCAAAAATCTTAGTGAAAGAGGATGCTGATTTGGATCAAATCATGAATAGCTCTTCTTCAAAAAGCATATGGTACCAAGTCGTGTGTTTTTATAAACTCACCCTATTGTTATTTGATTGTAAAATCTTCAAAAACAGTATCATGATTTTATAACACTTTCTATCCCCAATATATATAAATATGTATTTTATACTTGAACAGACACTTGCACACCAATATTCACAGCAGCAAAACTCACAACAGCAAAAAGGTAGAAACAATCCAAATGCCCATTTACAGATAAATAAACAAAATGCTGCATATTTATAAAAGAGAATATTATTCTGTCTTAAAAAGAATGAAATTCTGATACATGGTAGAACATGGATGAACCTTGAAGACACTATGCTAAGCAAACAGAGTCAGTCACAAAAGGACAACTGTTGTATGATTCAACTCGTATGAGGGTCCTAGAGTAGTCAAATTCATAGAGACAAAACAGAATGGTGGTTACAGGACTAGGAGTGAGGGGATACAGGGACTGTATGTTTAACGGGTACAGAGTTTCATTTCAGGATAATGAAAAAGTTCTGGAGATGGATAGTGGCAATAGTTGCCAACAGTGTGAATATACTTAATGCCATTGAATCATACATTAAAATGGTTAAATAGTAAATTTTATGCTATATATATTTTACCAAAATAAAAAAGGAGAAAAATATATATCATCATATTACTTTATGAACAAGTTACCTAAATAATATTCTGTAAATATGCAATCACAGAATTCTAATAGTTCTTAGCATTAAATTATTAAGAAAAAAATTGTTAAAAAATAATTGCCTAGTTTTTTATTTAAGTACCTGCTTTCATTAAAAAACAAACACAACACTAAAAAAAAACTTGAAGAAACACTAAAATTATTTTGATTTCAGCATTCAACTATAATGTGTTTCTTCCAACTCTGTAAATCCTTTGTCTTAGGACAAAAACACTTAAACAGGACCAGTATCAGTATATGTAAATGTTCTTAACATTCACACATAAATTAATCTCCATTCTTTGCAGAAGCTTGTATGCAATTAATGTTTTGTCAATTCAATTTTTATTCTACTTTCTTTCATCCTTTTACTTAGGGTTAAAGACCATGTGTGCAAAGGATATTCCTGTGTAACACTTTCGGGGTGGTTAACAAGCATCTAATAAGGAATATAGCATGTCAAATGAAATGATAAACTAGGAATTCTTGAAAGTGATTCACACTGCCAAATTATTTCCTAAGCTTTGGGAAATGTTTAAGAAAATAACTTAAAGTTTACATTCATCTCAATATATACAAAAACTGATTCAACTGCTACAAAACACAAAGGCAAAGTTATTTTTGTTTTTTATAAGAGTGATTCACATTCAAACAAATGTAATTGAAATTCATAGAACTATATATAACATCATTAAAAATACAAACTTCAAAGTTCATCACTCTGCAACCCTTCAATACAATGTAGCACACATACATCAATTCACTTTATGTGATTATGTCAAAGAAATTATATTGGATTTAACACATAGTTAAATTCAACAATAATTATTGATTTAACTCATAATTCATTTAATATGATTCATTTGTGGTCTTAACCTTAATTTACCAACTAAACTTCAATATTGGTGTGTTAGTTTTTTTTCTGGTAATTACCAAACTTGAAAATTTTCAGTAATGATTAATTTACCAAGATGTGCCCAAGAAATCATTATTGCATACTGATGTCTCATTAAAAAAAAGTCACATAAGATAAAAAGAATAAATATAAAAAAGAGGTATATTTAAGTGTTTGACTCCTTAACTTGGTACCCTATGCATATTCCTTCTAAAGATAGCTATTTCAATCCTTTGATCTATAATATTCCTGTTCTTTCAACAAATTCCATTAAGCAAAAGTATACTTCTCCCATTTTAAAAAAAGATACACTTGAGATCTGTTTTGCTTATTATATTTTCCTACTATGTATGCCTAAAAAAATATTGTGGATTTGATGTCCAAAATATCTACAGCAAAACACATATTTATGTAAGTTTTTAGCAGCATAACATTCACATGCAGATTCCACAAAAACTTCCTAGACTATACTAGGAACTGAATTCCAACCATAATTTTATAAAGTGGGTATTAATGATCATTAAGGAAAAGGAGGTTCCATAACAAAACAGTTTGATCTCACAAGCAGCTAACCAGTGAATTCAAGGACCAGATCCAGGTATTACTGATGTCAGAGGAAGGAGGAAGAGAAGTAATACCTTCTCTGTTGCATGCCAAGTATGAGCCAGGTACACTGCACACATTTCCTCATTTAATTCTTACCATTGCTTTGAAGGAAAGCATTATCTCTATTTTGAGGATGAGAAACCTGAGGTAAGAAGTGATTTGACTTGATCAAGGTTTGTACAGCAAGGCAGCAGCTAAGACAGGACAGAAAACCTGGGATTACACATTCACAGATTTTGTCTTCAAACCACTACTTCTGATTCAAAAAGGGAAGGTCATTTGATGTATTCTTGTATTTTTGTTTTTCTCTGAAGAGGAAGGAACAATTTCACTAAACAATTTTAATAAGATTTCTAATTCCATGAGAGAATCATGTGTATGTTGATAATCTCTATAGGATCACTATCATAAATATTCCAGGCAGATAGGTGATAACAATGATAAAGCACTTAGTATTCATATAGAAATACTTAATATTTCATATAGATGTCAACTCAATATTAAACCAATAATCCAGTTTGGAAAACACTGTGAATGCCTTTTATCACAAAAATAGCTTTGGCAAATATCAGCCCTCTCTTGAACCAGGTGCCAATTCTTGAAACAGCACTTAGAGCAGTGAAGAATGAGAAAGTTTAAAGGAAACTGAAATACTTCCCATTCTACCCAATACCCCTACATTTCACTAATTTAAGCCTATAATCCTTCTGCCCAGTAGCCTAGCTCTAGATACGAGGTAAAAAAAGGAGGGTCTTGGAATGGGAAAGAAACATTACCATTTTACATTTAAAACATCAAACTGAAGCCATTTTCATCTCTCCTTTAGGAAATTCAGCAATATATCCTTTCAAAGTATCTGTGTTCTACTAACACATACAACCTTCTAAATACAGTTAGAATATCCTCTTCCTTTACAAATTCTACCTTGTCCTTTCTCATCTGCTTCTGTTCTTTCTCTAGATCACTCAAAAGAATAATAAGGCAATGAGACATCTGGAGTTCTATTATTCAGGAACAAATGTCAATAATTATCAAATACTGGCTAAGCCATTAGGGATTCATATTTCACAGTAGTTTTCAAATTTTCCTATATAGCACCAAAGAGCTGTATGAACTATTCCTAGTAGCCCATGAGTGAAAGAGTGCCAGGTAGGTTTCATTTATAAAAGTATGTAACCCCCGTAACTCTTTTATTCATTATGCCAAACTTGGGGCAAGAAAAATTACAAGTAATACAAAAGATCAGTTTTGAAATCCTTACCCTAGAATATAAAAAAGTGGAGGCAGATGACAGTTTGCTGTATTTTTAAAAATTACTTCTTGATCTTTCTTTTCTCTGGTAACTTATTCATGATGCAAATCCTATAGGAAAAAAAGGTCTAAAAAGAACTCTGAAGTTTCTCAATAATTCCATTTTTATTACTGAGGAGAATATGTCTGCTATTGTTAGATGAAATAGTCTATAGATGTCAATCATATCTAGTTGACCAATGGTGCTGTTGAAATCAAATATGTCCTTATTGATTTTCTGCCCACTACATCTGTCCATTCTGATAGAGGAATGTTGGTATATCCAACTATAATAGTAGATTCATCTGTTTCTCTTTGCAGCTCTATCAGTTTTTGCCTCACATTATTTTGACAGCCTATCAAGTACACACACGTTAAGGACTGTTATGTTCTTGAAAAATTTACCCACTTTATCATTATATAATGCTCTTTATCTTTGAAAATATTCCTTGCTCTGAAGTCTGCTCTGTCTGAAAGTAATGTTAACTTCTCCAATTTTCTTTTCATTAGTGTTAGCATGGTATATCTTTTTCTATCCCTTTATTTTTAATCTCTATGTGTCTTCATATTTAAAGTGGGTTTCTGTTGACAACATATAGCGAAATCTTATCCTTTACTCACTCTGATAATATCTGTCTTTTAATTGGCATATTTAAATCACTGACATTTAAAGTAATTATTCATATTCATATACTTGGAGTAATATCTACCATAGTTCTTACTGTTTTCTATTCATTACCCTGTTCTTTTTTCTTTGTTTATTTATTTATTTATTTTTAT